TTGGTGATGCTTACATCTATTGAAAAAATATATACGAAAATGTAGTCTCGTCTGTCCACAATGAAAGTAAGAATCAAACATTTTATTAGTCTTTCTCATTTGCTATGCAAATCACGCTAATTGACTTTTTGGTAAATTTTAAAATTTAATATTATAGGAAAATAAGACGTAAAAATGATTTTAACATTTATACAAAAAATCATCCTTTTTAGAATTTTAAAACTAAAAAATATAAAAATGATTCTCTCTTTTTATAACTAAATGCCAAAATAATTCTTATGCCCTTAGTTTTTTATTTTTTATACTTGAATTTGGATTTTCAGACATCATTAAATTCTTTCGGAATTGATACTAGTACTGATAGAAAAAAACTTACTAATTTTTTTAATGTTTATTCTATAAAAAAGTTTTATTTTATGCATACATTTTAAAATTAATAAGCACAAATACATTGTATTTTTCGTTTAAAATTACCTAGCTCTTTATAAAAGTGATTTAGTCTATGTTTTTTTTTAATTATTAGCTTATCAAATATACTAAAGCAAAGTCTGTTGAACAGTTGTTGATATTAAAACATGTAATACGATATGAAATTATTTAAATAAAACACATTATGATTTTATATTTATTAATTTAAATTATATGTTTTGGTGTAATTATAATGTTAGAGATGTGCCACGCATTCCAATGTCGTCGTATATTTGGTCTAAAAATATTTATTTTTGTCATTATTTAAAAATTAAAAGTTACAGTGATAGTACAAAAAGTTCATTATTAGGTATAATAACTTTTATATACAAATATATCAATGAAGTTTTATGTTTTGCTTTATATTTGCTGTATATAATTCAATACGATTTACATCATCAACTTTAAATATAATAATTTAACTGTTTTAATTGTGGAATATTTTAATTATAATCTGTATTACTTATATTGAATACTGGTACTTTTATTTACAGTAAGGAACTCTAATAATTAATTTCGTTAAGATTTACTTACGTTTCTAATTTTGTCGTTTGAAAAATATTTTCTGCTAGAAAAATAAGTATTAAAACATATTAAAATAATGAAAACTTTAATTTACATAATATTAATGTAGAATTTTGTTAAATTGTATATTTAATTGGAAATTTTATTTTTAATTTACAGATGACATGAAGATGTTCTCGGAAGAGACTATTAATCAGGAAATTTTGAAAATATGCTGTGTTTCCAATCAGTTAATATCATTTAAATTATATAAAATATAATTATAAACTTGTTATATAGCGTTTTATTAAATATTTTACAAATAATATAAAACTAAAAGTTACAGATTATCTTATCAGATGTATATATTGTTAGCTCTGGATGTAAAATATCTTTTTTCTGTATTTTTCTCTTATAAGAAAAACATCTTTTATATAAAATTGAAATTACTTAGATCTTCGATTATTTCTTAGTAAATTTATTCTCATTTTTAATATATGTATGTATGGAAAATGTTTTCATTTTTTATTTAAGATATTTTTATTTTTGGTTTATTACTCAACATGAATACCATTGTTCAAGTCGGCTTACATATAAAATTGTTTATGTTATTTCGCTTGTTAATAAAGTGAGCGGATAGAAAAAGTTGTATTTACTTATATTTTTAATTACAGGAGCATCATTTTGCAAATTAGTGCTTAAATTATATATATATAGAATTTTCTATACATTCGTTTACCAGAAGCATATAAATTTTGATAAATAATTATATTACGATGAAAACAAATTACAAAATATTAATTCATCGTAGAAATAATTTTTCTAACTTTTTTATTAGGTGACATCAAATATCAAGAAAATTAAAAAAATTATTTTATGATATCGTATACAGATAATATAATCTTTATTTTTGCAATGTAATTATATTTTAATTCATAATAAAACAAGTATTAAAATTGCCGTAAATGAAATATATAAGTCATATTCTTTGTATTACAAAACGTGTTTTTCGTAATTTGTCCTGTTTGTTTATACGACGACGATGAAAATTTTCAATTTTCTTTAGTTACTTATCATAGATTTATGTTTTATATAATATCTTATATAAATTTACACGTAGATAATTATTTAACATCGTTATTAAAATAACATATTAAAACATATATATCGTATAAATAACATAAAATACATGATTGCGGTTTGCGAATAACGATATTAAATACTTTTCTACGCGTTTATTCTTCATCATTGCCCAAGTAACTATCGAAAATGAATTTTTCCTGTTAATATTTTAGACAAATAAACTTATACACTATATTTTTTGAGAATTTGTAATTTTTTTTAACTAAATATATTTAAAAACATATGTACCTTTCGGAAACTTTCTTCAAATGTTTTATTTTCAATTTTTATTCTCACGTAAAAGAACTGTTCAAATATATTCTTAGGATAAAATGTGTATTTAGGTAAAATGAGCGAATTAATACATAGATCTTGTCTTGAAGTGTTTATCACTCAGAACAGTTGTGCTATTTTGAAAATTTAAATATATTAAAACTGTGTTGAGTTTATTTCACAATATATTTATTTCTTTTACTAGAATATATATATTAATCAATGTTCTTTGTGGTTGTTGTTTTTGTGTTGTGTTGTGTGTAATTTAGTTTTGTTGTTGCAGAGATCCAACTTTACTCGACCGATTGGATGGATGGATTCTTAAGCTCTGTTTGCGGACGAAGGAGAACATCTACTCTATATTTAACGCAGCAACGAAGGCGACCTGTCTGTCCTTATTGTTTGAAATCTTTTTACGATAAAAGTACTTTAAATAGGCATATGGCATCCATGGCTTGCCGAGCCATGCATCTTTGTTAAATCCGTTTTTATAAACCAAAGAACTTGTTATTGCAATGTAGAAAAATGTGCCAAATCTTTACTTTATAGTATCAATGTATGTAAATTGAATGTTTTGATTATGCATGTAGTCTTACTTTTACATTTTCTTAATTTAATGAATTTTAGTGTCCAATCAAAGATTTTGCCTATTATTACTTCCATACGCGTTCTATTGTTTATTTGTAAACAGTTTTCAAATTGCAAATGTTGTGTATCTAGGTGAAATAAAATTTACATGAACAATTAATTATATGTCATTCCTTTAATTAGAACTTTATTCATGTGGTAGATATAGATTCATTATTATTTCTAATGAAGAAAATTTTTAAAAAATATTGTGTTTTATTTTTTAGCGATTATTTACGTAACTCTTTCTTAGTAAACTACATTTTACAAGAAAAGAAAAACAATACGCTTTCGTATGTTTTTATGAAGTTAACATGGTTAATGTTTTTCTTGTTGTATATTCGAATTCAAACTCGGATAGAAACAAGTTCGTGGGCCACAAAACAGGAACTTTATTNTCACGGAAAGTGGTGGTAGCGATAATGATGAAGGAAGAAAAAATATTTACTGAATAAATAAAATAAAATTTATTATTACACTGTACATGTATGGATGAAGAAAGAAGTTTTTTTTTGCGTTTAATAAACCGTGTTTCAAAAATTTGGAAGAGAGAAACAATGCTTTTAATTCTGTTTCAGATGCAACTGCAGTAGGCCTATATACACTACAAATTCGTTATCAATTTAATTTTTAACAAAAATGGTAAAAAAGCAATTATATTGCAAAAATTTATATTTTTAACTAATGTAGAGGATTATAAATAATTTCAAATGATTTGTACAATAGTATCAATCATTGGAGAAAGCATCAAACAAAATCATTTATATATTAATTAGCTTGTTTATGTCTAAATTAAAGCTCATTTGATTCCAAAATAATTAGAGACTCAATTCAAGATGTTCCACACAGTTGGACTATGTCTACGCGGAAGAACGTGGAAAACCATGTTTTTCTTGAAGAAAGAATAATAGATAGATAATAGAATATTCTTAGTTTTTAGGGATTGAACTAATTGAAAGCATTCTAAATTTATTGATTAGCATATAAATGATAGAGGTATTTTCGAGTGCACGTCTCTGCATGGCTTTGAATGCTGAAGTCCATGCAGGGCTATCGAAGAAGCTTCCATAGTCTCCCATCTTTCTTTTGATGACGACCAATCACTTTTCCTTTGAGTATTTGACTGGAAAGAAACAAAACATTATGTACTAACTTTGACAGATGCTATACGACTTTGTAATTCAAATTGGGACACTTATATTACACCCTCTATAGCAGCTTTACAATCACTAAACGTTAAAAGTTCCTGTGACGTCGGATGTTTATTCCGACGAAATTTTTAAACAATTTGCATATGTATAGGCTGAGAAGAACCTGTAAATAAATGTCGACACCGCCATTGTTAATTTCGTTGGTGTGATTGTAAATGTTTATTCAATTGCCATAACACAATTAACACTAGAGTTCAGAAGATTAATATTTGGTCTTCAATACTGTATAAATGGTTTCAAAATAAGATATAAAAGGTATTTGATTTGAGTCGTATTTAACATTACTATAAATGCACAACAAAACAAAAATATAAAATAGAATATACAGATAATTTAAGTAATGTTTTTAAAATTTAATGATAAATTATTTCTAAAGAAATGAAACAACAAAATTAATGTTGGTCTACAAAATTTTATTTTTACACATGCTATCTGACGCGTTAATTTTTTCAAAATTAATTAAAAATTAATTTTGAAAAAATTAATTTTTCAAAATTAATTTTTTTAAATTAAACATTAATTTTTTTTCAAAATTAATGTTTCAGGATTTGTGTCGGGAATATTTTAAAAATATTCCAATTTTAATTTTTCCTCTCTGACAAAAGTAATAATTGAAATGCTTTTCTTCATTTATTTATTCACTTTAATAAGCTACTGTAGCATTGATAGTATTTTTTAAGTAGTGACTATAATCAAAACTTTATAATCGTCCGCATATGAATATTTGAAAATTCCAACTAAATGTTTATAGTATGGAACAGCAGTTACCACTCTAAGATACTTTAAAGGATAGAATGTAATGTTTAGTCCTAATATCAGATTATTACTACAAGAAGTTGAAGTAAAGATCAGTCAAGAATTGAAATATTATTTGACAAAATAATTCATTTTCATGTCTAGACAAAGTTTTACACAGAACAGTAATTTGTTGCTTGCTTAATGTTTGCTACACTATTAAATGCACATTTTCCTTTTGCTCGTAGAATTATAATATTTGTTCGTAAAGAAATAAAGAATTATTTTTCTATACAAATGATAAAATTTCACAGACTTAAGGAGAATCGAGTAAAATGACTCTGATAAATTAGTTAGCAGAATTTAACTTATTAATTTGCGAATCGGAAATACTTAAATGTATTGTACAGTTATCTTCTCCCAAATAAATGCAGTAAAACTTCGATATCGGCCTAAGTGTATAAATGTATATATATAAATCATCGCCCTCACATAACGTCGATGAATACTTATGAACTATCATCTTATAAATATTAGAGAAGTCTTCAATATCTGTGAATAAGTAATAGTTCCGTTTTTCATTGCGATGACATTATTATCGCCAAACAACTTGACATTTTAGTCTCAAACTCAAATTTGTGTGCAGACCTCATTATCATAGCCGATATAATTGTTATTGTTCGTTATGCTTCGGTTTTAGCACCACAGTCGCTTTAGTCTTATTTTCAGAGCTGGTGGTGCTAAATTCAAGTTTGACGTTATTTTTGTTTGGATGAAATGTTTCCTTTGGGATGAAATTCGTTTATGAAATTTTAATTTATATAGATACCTTTTCCAATTTTTATTATGTGAATTTTATGGATAGTTATTCGGTGTTGAAAGTTTAAATAAAGTCTTAGTCTGTCTATTCATTTCAAATTTTAAAAAAACTATATGAAATAATATAAAGTTTTTAAAATTTAAAATGGATTTTGGATTTTATATGCGAGTACTACGTTATACAGTTTTCTAAGTTATATGAAATATTTCATGAAATCATCAGCTTTTAAAAAATTCTTATTTTATAAATTTATCTAAATGTTATAAGACCGAAAATGCCTCATATAAACTTCAACTTGCAAAAATTTAAATAAATCGATTTTTAATCGAATTTTTAAAGAAAATTTTATCATCCAGCGAAATTTTTAGAATTTTTAAATGATTTTAATATTGTTTTGTAATATAGATTATGATAATCTCAGATAAATATCATAGTCATTACTTTAAACATGATAATTACTTCTTTAAAATCTTAATAAAAACTTTTAATTATATAAAAATTATTTTTTTTTGTTTTCTGTAAGAGAAAAGTTTTAATTTTAAATCATGCATTTGTATTTAATCTAGTTTAGTTTTTTTAATATGGAAAGAAAAGAACGTTAATGGAATGATTTTTAAATTTATTAATTAACTTAAAATTTATTAATATTGTGTTGTAATTTGAAAGGTATTTGGATTTTTTCTTCATAAACTGCTGTGTGTATACACAGAAGTATATGAAGAAAGCTTTCATTATACAGGCTTTTATTGTAATTTTCTTTAAATTATTAATCGTCATAAAATAAATTACGGCACACCAAAAATAGATTGGTATTAAGTTATATAGGGACAGTTCTTTTACATCAACTTTTATAATCAGAAGTAAAAATTCACATTAAATTTAGTTTTTAATGAAAGAACTGAATGAATAGGAAGAGAGTAAAAAATTTAACCAATACTAATATTTTAATTTATATTTATATATAAAT